GGCTAAAGGTGTACATGCCCACCAAGTTTATGATCTGGAAAGAGATAAAGGGCTAGGGAGGGTACTGGCCAGGGTGGCCTATGATAAACATGTGATAAGGAAGTAAAGCTAGAGGCTTGGTCAGAGCAGACAAAGCCAAAGGAGAAGGTATCAATGCCTCATTAAGATTGACTTATATCTTGCCATTGGACTCCAAGACTCTGGAGGAGAGAGCGAGGCTGGTGACTTTGCCTCACTTAAATCCAATTCCTTTGCAAATCAAGACATCACCCTCCTGATGTCATTGGTCCTCTTCAAGAATGAAGGATGAACAACACCAGCAATAACCACTATAACCCACTAAAGACATTTAGGGTGGGGAGAATGGAGGGCAAAGCTAGGGGACAGAGAAAGACATCTCTTAGAAAACCATGGGGAGCCTGGTGTTTCCCAGTGCACCCTCTGCTGCTAGATGTAGTACAAAACATCAGAGTGAGCGTAAGATGGCCCTAACCTAGTCAGCAGCACTCCCTGATGGTTAAAGAAATAACTGTCAAACTTCCACTGCATACATTCCACTACTCAAAGAAACTAGGATATTCTTTCAGAGTGTACAACCTCCAAACGAGCCCATACTATCAAGATGTTTCGAACAATGACAAGCCCTTGATGCTTTCTTCTCTGCTCATTCCCCTAGATGAAGATCCAATTGCCCTATGGGATAATCCACACTGTGCTCATCTCTTCTCCAACACCACTGTCAGGCTTTTTTGCCCTCTGGGACCGGTCGAATTCTGTTTTAAAAGGCAATGTCAAGTTTATTTGCTTGCTTTTATCTTGGATTGGTTTTTGTTTAATTTATTCATGTTTCTTCACCTCATAGAGGATATAACTATCCTACTGAAAAGGGAAGACTAGCAGAGAAATAATCCCATTTGTACCAGAGTGGTGTGTTTTTTGTACCAACATCACTGTGTTCCCTTTTCCATGTGGTTCGGTCATAAGGTCATTTATTGAAGGGCAAGGTGGTGCCTTGAATCCAGCACTGTGGTTGTTAGACCCTCCACAGAGCCCAGCAGCGATCCCTACAGGCAATAGGTCTAATGATATCCCAAACTTGACTGTGTCAGGAAGAAGAGAAATCATTAAATAATTATCAACTGTGATAAGGCAGCAATTAAGCAAACACTTACTGCTGGTTTGGTCCAGATAGCAGGGCTCTCACTTTCCCGGCTGCAACTAACAAGAGGGCCAACAGTGTGAGAATCACACAATGACTGGCAAAGGCCAAATGTATCATGGTAGGATTTCATCCACATCCTGTTGTTCTGTTCCATAAGGGTTCCTGTTCCATCCCTCCCCTTTACTCAGTCCTTGCAGAATGAATCTTTGAAGATCAGCATAGCAGAAGAGAAACTCTAACTGGTCATAGTGGTCAATGTGTGTAGGCAAATGAAACAGAAAAAATCATTTCAATAGTCCTTGCAGTGATCCTGGAGAATCACATATAAATAGCTTTGTAATTTGGATCACATTTTTCCATTGCCTTATTCAGGTTAATTCAATTCAGCCAGCATTTATTAAGCATCAACCATATACTTGGCTTTTCTCTCAGTGCTAAGGAGACAAATACAAAAACTTCCACAGTCCCTGTCCTCAAGGAGCCTACATTCTGCTATGTTATAACATTCTATCACATGTCTGTTTCGAAAGTAATTTGTTTTCAATTTTCATTGAGCCTCATTAGGCTCCTTATACTTTGGCTTTAAGTGGTTCTCCAAGTCTTCTTATCCCTTATCCCTCAATAAAAGTAAAGATCCTACTTGTCATTTGGACCATAGATTTAGAGCTGGATGGGATTTTAGAGACCATCGGATCCAATACCTTCATTTAACAGATGAGGACTCTGTGGGTTGGACTGGCTAAGCACTTGCCCAGTGTCACATGACTTTAACTTAGATCTTCCTGCCTTCAAGACCAGCACACTATCCACTATAACTTGTTGATTATATTAATGTAACATGGGTTGACTCTGGCCCCACTATCTGAGTCAAATCAACAGGCAAGCATTTATTAAGTGCCTAGTATGTGCCAGGCACTTTACTAAGCAGTGAAGTTGCAAAGAAAGGGAAAAAAAGCCCACTCCCTGCTATGCTCAAACAAGATATATACAGGATAAATTAAGATAATCTCAGAGAGAAGCTCCTATCTCTAAGGAGCACTAGGAGAGACTTCTTGTAGAAAGATTGGATTTAGTAGAGACTTGAAGAAAGCCAGGGCCAGATTTGCTACATTTTTATGTCCAGGACCTTGAGGAGGTTTGGAAGTCTCTCTTCTCTGCCATTGGCTCACACCCCAACCAATTATGTTACTTTCATTTTAGGACCCAGTAACCAGCACCCCAGTTCCACTTAACCACCTAAAAGATTAGCTTTTACTTATTTACTGCTTCAAAAAATATGTTAAGAATAACTACATCACTCAGAAGGGACAAGATGGTGGAGTTCAGAAAGAAGTCCAGCTGAGCTCCCCACCAAAACTACACAAAGCAGATCTACAAAATGTACCAGATGTAATCTTGATAGGGAAATCCAAGAAAAAGTCATACAAAGTCATTTTTCCAAGCCAGGTTGGGACAGAGAGACACACAAATCTGTGGACACTGGCAGGGGGTGGAAAAGGGTCAGGTTCTGGTCAGAAGTGTCAGGCCACAAGGAGCCTTCAAGGACACTGAGACTGAAAGAGCACAAGACTGTATGATGCATAAGATGAAAGCTCAGACCCATGCTGGGGCATTGCAACATTGTGCCCTACGTGGGAACAGAGCCCAACTAGAAGTTTTGTCACTCAAGTTCAGTTCCTTACCTAGTTCCAGATCACAAACCAGGGTAGACTGAGGAAGGTTCTCCAGTCTAGGGATGGTGAAAAAGAGAGGTTCAAGCCCTGGGCTACATACACAGCAAGGAACAATTTCAGAAGCAAGCAGCAAGGTTGTGCTCTAGAACCTAGGAGCAGGGTCTCAGTTCCAACTTCTAGCCCAATCTGAAGCCTGAAGAGGAATTACCAGGGCAAGAATCTTAGACAGAATCTCCTAGGAAGCTTACAATTCTATCACTACAAATACTAGCTGAATGTAGCAGCAGTTTACTGTAGGTCAGACCCCAACCTGGGTCAACTACTTGTAGAGCTCAGAAAAGGGGTCTATGATCTAACTTTATTCTAGATCAGACCACTGTGAAAACACTGAAATCTTACAGGTTCCCAGTCTGAGCCATCCCTGAGAACTTAGAATAACACAGTAGTCAATATCTCAAGAAAGCAAAAAACAGGTCCAGTCCAAACATACCCACCAGAAGGGCACAGAGTCCAACTCTAACATAAAGTCTGAATTCATGAAGTTGACTGGAAGAATGAGGACATTTTTTTTTAAATCATAGAGGTTCTATCACAGAGGAAGTCTCATTAAACAGAAGACTTGGGAATGGTTCTGTTATGACTTGATGTTTAAAACGAAGGGTGCAAAGGGAGGGGAAGAAGAAAACTGGAAGATAAAGGAAGGTTAGGGAAAATTATCTTACATAATCTATACAAACAGGGAGGAAGGAGGAGGGAATGGCTGACACTAGAACCTCACTCTCGTCTGAACTGTTTGTAGAATACACACACACACACTCACACACACACACACACACACAGAGTTCAGTACAGAAAAACACCTCACTCAACAGAGAAATAGGAGAGAAAAGGAAGAAGGGAAAAGGGGAATTAGAGTGAGGACAGATTCAGTCAGTTAACAAATTTTTATTAAGCACCTACTATGTGCCAGGCACTGTACACAAGTAGAAGTCTATGAAAACAAGAAGGAAGGGGGTCAGGGTCTAGACAACAGTTGAACCTCCTCATCTGAACTGGTCAAAAGGAGGAAGAATACACACATACACACAGAGTTTGGTACAGAACTACATTTCACTTAACAGGGAAATGGGAGGGAAGGGGAGAAGCGAGAAGAGGTAATTAGAGGGAGAGTAGATTAAAGGAGGGATTGGTCCTAAGCAAAACAAACTCTAAGGATGGATAAAAAAATATTTATAGCCCTTTTTGAAATGGCAAAGAATAGGAATCTGTGGGGGCACCCATCAACTGGGAAATGGCTGAACAAGTTATGGTATATAAATGTGATAGAATGCTATGTGCCATAAGAAATTATAAAGAGGGTGGTTTCAGAAAAAACAAACTTAGAAGAATTTTGTGAACTGATATAGAGAGAAGTAAACAGAACCTGAATAACAATTTATACAATGACAACATTGTAAAGACAAACAACTTTGAAAGATTTATGAACTCTCAATCAGTTTAATTACCAAGCACAAAATCCAGAGGACTAATAATAAAACACGCTACCCATTTCCTAATGGAAGAGAAAGGGTCAGAGTAAAGAACAAAATAGACAGACAGACAGCTAGAGAGATAAAGAGATGATACAGATGTAGACATACAGGTATTTCTTTTGAACGTGGACAATGCGGAAATTTGTTTTGCTTGACTGCACATATTTGTAACAGAGGTTTTGTTTTTCTTTTCTTCTCCGTGAGAGATGGGAGACAGAGTAGGCAGATTTTGCTGATTGAAAAAAAAAATTTAATTTAAACAAAAAGAACATACAAACAATTTTTCCCAATACTTTGGGGACATCATCCCTTCCATACCACTGCAATCTATGGGGACAGGTAGGGGAATTAGGTTTATAACTTAACTTGATTCCTAAGTTACATTAGTCCCACCAAGTTCAACTCCAAAGTCCTCTAGGTTAGCAACCCTAGACTTTAGCTCTCTAGGTCTTCACTGCTGGACTCCTGGATCTCTGTGGTCAGAGCTTTGAGGATGGAGACTACTTTCTCTGTACCTAGAACTGAAAAGGATAAAAGAAAAGGCCAAAACTCTACACTCGTTTCTCAGGGCCACATAGCCTAACAGGGGAGACAGGATAGGGAAGAGGCAGTCCTCAGTCCTTCCCCACTTACTGCATGATGTGAGTGATCCTTAGACAGGAAAGCAGATAAAAGTCCTGGCTGCTCAATCAGGCAGTCTTAAAGACTCAAACAGTTCTGGCCATTCAGTCAATGGAAAAAGACTGTTCCCAAACACGTTACAACAATGCAGAATGTCCATGTATGTTCTGGTTCTCCAGTCTCCTGGAAGCAGATTCTATGATGTCTTCCATGTGGGTGATGCCATTTTAGGTGGTCTAGGTATGCATATGCATCTAACTCCCATTGTATTAAATAGATATTTATAGGCACTAAGCAATGGGGCTCTGGACTGGAGAAAGGCTATTTGTTTATTCAGTGCTTTACACATGGCTGAGCTAACTAAATTTGAGCTAAATTTGCCCTTGACAGTCTTCAGTGAGTTATACAGCATCCCAGACACCTTTGCCTTGCGGCTATTTCCTTTCCTGACTAAGATGAACCCATTAACCATTTCAACAGGATGTGAGTCTGAACCTAGCCTTTTGGGAAGCTTTCTCTTCTTGAGAAACTCCATTTCAACCCCTCAGATGCCTAAGGCACTTATTAAACTACCTTTAGCCTTTTCCACAGACAAATCAATTTGTACAGCCCTTAGTGAACTTTTCACCAAAGAAGGATTTTTCTTTTTTATTCTTGTACTTATTTTATATTTTGTCAAATTTTGTTTTGTTTACTTGAAATCCATTGAGCTTTCCCCGTATAGTTTCAAATCCTGTCAAAGTGTTCTTTGGGGCAGCAGCATCCAGCAGAAAGCAAACTAACTCTGAGTCAGAGGATCTGGGTTAAAATTCTACTTTGATACTGGCTTATGGTGGCAAGTTACCAAACTTTCTTATGGATAATTTTCCTTATGTAAAATGAGGGGATTGGACAGAGTAAGATAATCCTAGGCTAGCACATACCTAAACAAGAGAAGCTACATGCCCCGCTATCCTGGTGCTTATGAGATTCTTTTAGTATCATGAAACAGAGCTCCTGTTTTGATGCCAGACATGCCCAGAGACCTAAAAGACAGCCCTCTAAAGAATGATAATGACACAATACCCCAAATCACAAGTCTTGGCCATTCAGAGCTTTGGGCTAAAATTATTCCTCAAGACAGCAGTAAGCCCCATCCCAAGGACAAGTTGGGGGAAGCTTTAGAATAATTTTTCCCATGGTGATAACAATTCACTCCCTATATAAGGACATCTGTAATTTAAAAATCAGAGGTTTCCAATATACATGAGTTGTTCTCATAAGCTAAGCTTCCCAATTAGCCTTAACTATAGAGAAGGAAGTGGGTAAAAAGTCATACCCAAGGAGGGATCTTCTATATAATTCTTCCACAAATTTAACTGGGAAGGGGTAGGGTGAAGAAGAGACACAAGGGAGTCCTAAAAAAGACTTTTTTTTGTAGGAAAGCAAAATAGAAGATCTTTAATAATGTTATTAGAATAACATTATTCCCCCACCTTAAAAAAAAAACCCTTCACTAGACCCTACCATAACCTCAAGCTATTGTCCTTTACCTCTTACCTTTCACAGTCAAGCTCCTAGAAAAAGCTGTCTACCCTTGTAATTTCCACTTCCTTTCCTATTAATCACTCCTTGATCCTTTGCAATCTGGCTTCCAACCTCACCAGACCTCATCACTCAACTTAAACTGTTATCTCCCAGGTTACCAATGACCTCTTAACCACTGAATAGAATGTTTTTTTTCCCCTCAGTCCTCATCCTTCTTGAACTTTCTGTGGCATTTTATATAGTTGACCACTCCCTGATCCTGAATACTCTCTCCTCCCTTAGTTTAAGACATTCATGACTTTTAGTTCTCTTCCTACTTATGTGGCTGCTCCTTTTCAATCTCCTTTGCTAGATCATCACCTATGTCCTTACCCCTATTTATGGCTTTATCTGGGGTCTTCTTCTCTCTTTATACTCTTGTACCTAGAGAACTCACTAGCTCCTGTAGGTTACAATTATCATCTCTTTGCAGAAGACTTCCACATCTACTTAACCAATCCTAGTGTCTCTCCTGAGTTCTAGTCTGGAATCAACAATTGCCTATTGGACTTTTCCAACTGGCTGTACCAAAGGTATCTCAAACTCAATGTATCTAAAATAGAACTCTTTATTTTTTTTCTAAAAACCCCCTTCTTCCAAACTTTCCTATTTCTTCTTAGAGTGCCATCGTCCTTCCAATCACTCAGGTTTACAATTTCAAAGAGTTATCCTCTCTCCTCACTCTCCATATGGCCAATCAGCTGTCAAGTCTTGTCAATTCTACCTCCACAGTGTGTCTCACAACCATCTCCTTTTCTCCACTAACACACAATCATCTTCTTAGTTTAGGCCCTCATCAGCTATTACCTATTGTATAGAGATAGTTTCCTAAGTGGTCTCTCTGGCTCAAGTTTCTCCCCTCTCCAATCATCTTCCACATAGCTAGTTAAGTGATATTCCCAAATTACAGTTCTGAACATATGAACTCTTTCATTGAGAAACAGCAGTGGCTCTCCAAGCTCTTCATAATATGGCTCCAACCTACCTTTCCAAGTTTCTTTAACATTACTCTTCATCACTCATTCTGCTTTCTAGTCCAACTGGCCTACTTGCCATTACTTGTACATGGCATCCTACTGCCTATCTCTTTACAAAATCTGTCCCCCTTTTCCTAGAATGTTCTCCCTCCTCACCACCACTTCATAGCATCTCTAGCCCAAGTTGGCAGTTATCCCCCAAAAAATTATTTTGTATTTATTCACCTGTGTACCTACTGTTTAAACCAAACAGAACATAAGCCCCTTGAGGGCAGAGACAATTTTGATTTTGTTTTTGTAATCCAAATGTCTAACAGTGCCTGGTATAGAGTAGGTACTTAGTAAACATTTGATATATTAATGAATATAATGAAGGGAATCCCTCTTATGGAACAGAGTTCTTTTTTCTTTAGAAGAAACATGACTAAATTGACCCACAGGGCTTTTAAAAAGAATCTCAGTGTTTGCTTCTTCCAAACTTCCATCTTCCATCAAGAAACCAAGGAGAAGTTGGCTAGAGTTGTTCTTATTACCCTAAAAGCTTTTAGGGCAATAGTGGCTGTCTCTTCTTAAATTATTCTATTAAGGGATAGGTTCTTAGGCTCACCAGATACTAAAACTACAAGAGTGGACCACATACAGCCCAAAATACTCCTAAGTGCTATGGACAACACATAAAGATGTAATTGGAAAATATTTTAAGATGAAAATACAATACAACATAGATAACATTACATTTTAAAGCTAAGTCAATATGTCACCCACAGGGGTCCTCATGTATACATTGGTGAGCACCATTTCTATTTGATTTTGACACCACTGATCTAGTCTAACTCTCATTTTACTTATTTCTGTTTACTTTAATGACATCTTTTGCTTTACCTTCTTTTACAAATATGTCTTTCTCCCCTCTCCCACCCCGTGAGTCAACCCTTTTAACAAAATTTTAAAAGGAAAGAGAAGGGAGAAAAAAAAACAGTTCAGAAAAACCAACATATCAACCTTGCTGATAGTACATAACACTGTTTCTGAAGTATAGTCCCCAATCTCTCCAAAGAACAAAATGCAGGGCACTTTCTCACTTCTCTCCCATCCCAACCCCCCGGAATAAGCTTGGTTATTATCATTACACTGTATCTGCAAATTGATACACTGCTGGTGGGGATGTGAGTTGGTCCAACTATTCTGGAAAGCATTTTGGAATTAGGGTGAGAAAGTGGCCAAAATGTTCCTACTCTTTGATCCAGTGATCCCTTAGCTAGTTACCTATCTCAAGAACATTTATCATAAAAATAAAAGACCTCATATGCATCAAAATATTTACAGCAGCACTTTTCGTAGTAACAAAGAATTGGATACAAAAGAGATGTCCATCAATTGGGGAATGTCCCTATCAGTTTTAGTATAGGAATGTAATGGACTTGATTGTGCTATAAAAAAAAAATGAATGTAATAAAAACAGATGCAGTGGAAAACTTATATGAATGGAAGCAAAATGAAACAAAATCAGAAAAACAATCTACACAATGACCAAAACAGTATGAAATAAATAGAAAGAACTACAACAAAATTAAAAAATCAATGTTGTGAAATTGTAATTACGCAGATTGTTTCCCCACCACCACCACAAGAGATATGAATATACACCTATAACAACCTTTCTGTGCAGAGGTAGAAAACTATGGATGTGTAACAGTGCATATAACATCAGATTTGTTTGATGTATTGATTATTTTTGCTCACATATTTTGTTTCTCATTTTTATAATTTGTTGTAAGAGACAGGGATGGGAGATACTGGGAAATTAAGGTTATATAAAAAGAAAAGATATCAAAAAAATAATTTAAAATAATTAGAGGGTTTGGATTTTTTTGTTTCTTTATTTGTTTTGGCTCTTCTCATTTATATGGTTGTAGTCACTGCGTGAACATAATTTTCTTTTATCTGCTTACTTTGGGTCAATAAGTCCATGCTTTTATTCTTCATATTTATCATACATTACAGTAAGGAGATATTTTCTTACATTCATTTACCATAATCTATTTAGCCATTCCCCAGTAGATAGGTAGCTACTTTTTCTCTCTTTTTTGTTACCACAAAAAATGCTGCTATAAATATTTGGGTTTATAAGGCATGTTTTTCTGTCTTTGACCTCTTTGCAACCCTTTAATTTTAAAGAAAAGGAAAATGAGGTCCAGAGTGGTGAAGAGACTTGACTTTTATATTTTGAAAATCCATGATATAAATAATCACCCCTTGTTTAATAATTTTGTCCATTCACATTCTAGGCTCATGATAGCTGTTGGTGTTTTTTTTTCTTAAAGCAGGACATGTCTTTATAGAAGGTGTTATTTTCAGAAATTACAGATCATTGCTTAGATACTATGATGCAGCTTAGATACCAAACTTAAGGATTATATATTCTGAATGTAGAGAAATGGAACAAAAACATACTCAATATCAAATGAGCTAACAAGGCTTAGACATTATTGCATTCTTATGGTTGTATCTCAGGCCACTTTTGCTTGAATATTTGCACATAAATATAAAGAATGCAACTTTTCCTTGGCTCATAAAAAAAGAAATTTCTGGACC